TATCTATCTATCTATCTATCTATCTATCTATCTATCTATCTATCTATTTTTGTTTCCCCCATTAGTATGTAACTTCTTTGAGGGCAGGGATTGTTTCAGTTTTGTGCGAGCATGCGTGCGTGTGTGCGTGCGTGTGTGTGTATGTTTCAGTCCCCAGATACAAAGTTCAAGTACTTGACAAATGTTTTTTGACTGATTGATTAAAAAATGAACAGTCAATTATCCACATAAGAAAAATTCTCTGATGCTTATTCTAGATTCAAAATCCTTAGTGAAACAAGATAGTCAAGTTAACAAGTATATATTAAGTGCCTATCAGTCAAAAAATCAATCAATAAACATTTATTAAGCCCCTATTATGTGCTGGACAGGGTGCTAAGTGGCTTTGGATAAAAAAAGAGGCTTACAGTCTAATAGAGGAGACAATATGCAAAAAACTATATACAAACAAGATACATACAGGATAGGACTCATGAAGGAAAATGCTATCCATATCCAGATAAAGAACTGATGGACTCTGAATGTAGATCGAAGCATATTTTTTTCATTAACTTTATTCTTTCTCGTGGTTTTTAAAAAAATCTATTTCTTCTTTTACAACTATGATTAATATGGAAATTTTTTTTAATGATAGTACATGTATAAAGGATATCAAACTGTCTACCATTTTCAGAAGGGAGAGGGGAGGGAGGGGGGGAGAAAAATTTGGAACTCAAAATCTTGTAAAAATGAACGCTAAAAACATTCTTGACATGTAACTAGGGAAAAAAAAACACTATTAAAACATTTAAAAAGAAAGATATATACAGGCTAAATTGGAGAGAATCTCTGAAGAAAGGCATTGGTGTTAAGGGGGGCCAGGAAAGATTTCTTGAATTAAGTGGGGCTCTAGGTGAGACTTAAGTCAATTTTTTTTAATGTTGTTCCTAGCATGTGACGTGCTCTGTCCTAGTCCTAAAAGGAACCAACTGTAACCAAGAAGTCACAATCTAGTTAAGATAAAACAGAAACTTGCAAAACGTTAAGCAATATAACCCTAGCTCCCAGTCAGAGCCTGAAGGAAAGGCAGAAAGATCCGAAGCTAGGTCATGGGGAAGACAGAGGGGGCCGCACTCTGAACCCCGAGAAAGACATGAAAGGGGAAAAGAGGATGCCATTTTGCACTTTTGTTAGAAAAAGAGCCGTGCTTAGAATATGCAGAGCCTGCAATTAGGACACACAGCCAAACAGAAAAGCAAAACTGAAACCGGGGGAGAAAGGGTAGAGACAGGTCGGGGCAGTGACTGCAGTAGGAGGGGACAGCTGAGGACGTGACAGTTGGGGGAGGGAACAGCTAGGGGAAGGGACAACTGGAGAGGGACAGCTGGGGGAGGGGATGGTTGGAGGGGACAGATGGGGGAGGGGTAGATGGGAAGGGACAGTCGAGGAGGGGACAGATGGGGGAGGGGACGCCTGGGGCTGGCGGGGTGTGGAGAAGCTGGGGGCAGACCCTGCTGCTCCCTTGGCTCCCCAAGGCAGTCTCCGGACTGCCTGGGCCAGAGGACGCCCCCCACCCCCACCCCGGGGAACGGTCCGGCCTGCTGTGGCCAGAGCCTTCTCCCTCCGACCTGCGTCCTCGTGGCAGGCTCTCCCTCCGCCGACGCAGGCGCCTCCAGGCACGGTCTCCGAGGGCAGATCTCTCCAGCCTAGCCAGGACAGGCCTCGCTGAAGGAGCCGAGCCATGTTCGCTGCCTGCTCTAGGTGCACGGGCCTGGACACTGCAGGAGCCCTCCCCAGACCCGCCTCCTTCGGTGAAGGGCGGAGAGGGGGCGTGCCCCAGCTGCGAGGCGGCGGGGAGTGGGGTGCGCTGACTGGGGCGCGGGGCTTGGCACCACTCTGCCCAGCCCCAGGAAACAAGCCGGCCGCGCTGTCTGTGCCCAGGCTGCGCTTGTCGGCCAGCTTCCCAGGCCTGCTTTAGGATGGAAGGGGCAGTAGAAGACCCGAGGCTTGAGCCCAGACAGCAAGGGCCCTACGGTGCCACCCCCTTCCGCCCGAGCTCACCAGAAACAAGACCAGGCTTGGAAAAGAGACTTTTTTTACTTTATTTTTGACTTAAATTTCCATAACGTCTGCAGACCGAAGCAGCTGACCGCCCCTTCCCCTTAAAAAAAGGCTTCAATTTAATCTCCAAAAAAAAAGTCAATTAAATTCAAAAATCGTTTATTAAACACCTATGCTGAGCAAGGCACTGTTTTAGATGCTAGGGATATAAAGACAGAAGTGCAAAATTTGGGCCCCTTCTTCAAAGACCTTACAACAGTCAACTGGGGGATACAAACAAGTAAGTAAATAGATTTAAAGTGCACTGACAACCTGTCTTTCCAGCTTTAACACTCCACAGGCTGGTCAAGCAAGGTCGAGACCTTGCTGGCCCTCACACGTGGCATTCTTATCTCTGGTCCCTATGCTTTTGCAATGGCTGCCTCTTACTTCTGTGGAGTCCTGATCTGGGCCCCAAAGAATCACTGTTCCTTTAAAGTTCAGTTCAAATCCTATGTTTTACATGAAGTCTTTACTAATCTCTCCAGCTGCAAATGCTTTGCCCCTTGCCCCTTTAAATTTTTTTTTCAATTAACAAGCATTTCTTTTCTTTCCTCACTTTCCTCTCCCACTGGAAAAATAAAAAAAAAATATAAAACCCTTGTAACAAATACACATCGTAAAGCAAAACAAATTCCTAGATTGGCCACGTCCAAAAAATATGTCTTATTCTCATCATTGTTTCATTTCTCTGTTTGGAAGTACATAGAAGGCATCATGGAGAGTCATTGCATTGATCAGAGTTTTTAAGTCTTTCCTAACTGCTTATCTTTACAGTGTTGTTAATGTATAATTTGTCATATGAGTGTGTGAGGTAGAATGTCAGAGTTATTTTAATTTGTATGTCTTTAATTATTAGTGATTTGAAGTATTTTTTTTCACATGGTTGTTGATAGCTTGGATTTCTTACCTTGAGAACTACCTGTTCATATCCTTTGACAATCTTTCAGTTGGAGAACCTTCTCCTCCAAATTGCCTTTTATTCATTTCATATGAACTTGAATGTTAGACCTGGGCTATTTCTCTCTAATATGTTGGACCTCCAGAATGAATCTCAGGTTCTCTGTAAGTACTTTGGATCCATATCTATTCAAATGTTACTTTAGGTGCCGCCACTGATATGTTTATCTTTTTCTCTAGTCATTCTACAGACACAATTCAAAGCAAAGGCATTTAATGAAACCTCTAGGTAACAAAGTATGCAACAGAACATTTCCCCACAAATCTTGGGAACACCTTCCTACAAATATAGACACCATGATGGTGAGGGAGAGTGAACATGTATAGGTGTCATTCATGAGAGGCCTATGTTTGAGAAAAGCATGTTGTATACCAACTCTGTATAGGTGTACAGTGTTTCAGTATACAGTTCAGAGCCCCCATATTCTAGTGATATCCCTGTGTTGCCCTCACTGAGCCACTGGGCTGTGGGTTTCCATTGGGTTGGTCTCTGGATGACTGCTATAATCTCTATTGACCTGTTGTCTGGCTGATGCTGTATGTTTAAGCAAGAGTGTCTCGTGAACTGTTGAGTGTTAACTATAATTTTGTAGTACATAATTCCATAATTATATAATTTAGCTATAATCTTAGCTATAATTTTAAGGCTTTCCAGCACCCATCTGTTTGGGTATAGTGGCTAGAGCCTCTCTTGGAGAAGGGCAGGCTAATGGCTCTTTGGGGCAGCTAGGTGGTACAGTAGATGGAATGCCAGGCCTGGAGTCAGGAAGACTTGAGTTCAGACCCAACCTCAGACACTTATTAGCTGTGTGATCCATGGCAAGTCACTCAACCCTGTTTGCTTCAGTTTCCTCATCTGTAAAATGAGCTGGAGAAAGAAATGGCAAACCACTCCACTCTCTTTGCCAAGAAAACCCCTAATGGGGTCACAAAGAGTCAGACACAACTGAACAACAACAACAAAGGTGCTCTCTATCTTGATTATGAAGTTCTAGCCTTAGATTGTAAGCTCCTTGAGGGCAGGGACTGTCTTTTGCCTCTTTTTTTTGTTCCCTGTTCTTAGCACAATGCCTGGCACTCAGAAAATGTTTATTAATTGATTGGCTGATTGGTCAAACCCCAGATTGGAGCAGTAAACAGCAGTCACAATGAGCTTTTTCATAAAATAAAGCCTCTTCTCTTATGTGTAGCATGGGACAATGGAACACATTTTTATTCCTGCAAGTACATTTCCATTTTGACAATATTTACAATCATAAAATCTTAGTGCTAGAAGGAAATGCAGAAATCATGTTTCATCTCCCTCATTTTGCAGATGAGGGAAATGAGGGCCCAGAGGATCAGTGAGTTGCCTGAAGTCACACAGCTTGTTAATAGCAAAGTTTACAATATATTGTTAATAATGAAAAATTTTGAAAATAATAAGGAATAACAAAAAATGTCCCCAAAGGTAAAATTAAGTCACCCACACAAATATGAGTTATTAAATGAGCCCAAAGACAATTATTCTCTGGCTATAATAATATATTTATAGGGAGTATAGAGAAGCAGTCCCTTGCAGTGTGAACTGTTGAGTGAGCAGTAGGAATGAGAATTTCTCACATGGGTTATCCCATACTTGGAAAACATTTTATAGTTTTTCAGACTGTCGATTCTTTGAAAGCAAGGGTTATCTCATACTTAGAAAATGTTGTATAGGCTTTTAGATTGTAGTTTCTTTGAAAACAGGTAAATGAAAATGCTATTTAAAGCTGCATAGCGGACACATAGTGTGTGATGATTATACAATAAATCATGGAAAGGGCTACATAATTATTTGAAAGACTTTACAGGTAGCACTAGCAAAGGACCACTTTTTTTTAAACAGAATTATCTAAATTCTCTCTCTAGATCATTCTTAAATCTCCTAGGTAACTAGCCACTCGATTTTCTGTTTGTAGGGACCACCACTTTTCCATTCTCTCAGAATCATTAATCTTTGCCTTTTCCTGGACTCCTCACTCTCCCTCACCCCACATCTAATCAATTGTCAGATCTTACCTTTTGTACATACATATTTGTTGTCTATGTTCCCTTCTCTCCACTTATATAGCCACCACTTAAATTCAGGCCCTCATTTTCTCTTGCCTCTATTATTGAGATAGCCTCCAAATTTGTTCTTGTTGTCTTTCCTCACTCCAATTTATCCTCCACTTAGCTGCCAAAGTGCTTTTCTTTAAGCACCACTGACTGTGTCTCCATCCCTACTCAATAAATTCCAGTGGCTTTTTGTTGCCCTTGATAAAATATAAACTCTGTTTAGCTTTTAAAGCCCTTCTCAACCTCTTCATTCTCCTTGACCTCTCTTCAGCCTTTGACACTGTTGATCACCCTCTTCCCCTGGATGTGCTTGTAGAATGTAAGGTCTTTGAGAGTAGGGACTATTTCATTCTTTATATTTGCCATTCCCTCAATCCCACTACCTGCTCAGCACTAGAACGTAGTTGCAAAGGAGGGGAAAGGAATAAGCATGTATGTAGCACCTACTACATGCCATTTGATCATCAATAAACTCCCAGGAGATAAGTGCTATTATATAGGATCCCCATTTTAGAGTTGAGGAAACTGAGGCAAATAAAGGTTTAAGTGACTTGCCAAGGGTCATAACGCTAGTAAGTATATGAGGCTGGATTTGAACTCAGGTCTTCCTGACTTCAAGCCCAACACTCTATCTAAGATCCTGACACCTAGCTGCCTCTAAGTAAGAGCTTAATAAATACACATTAAGTAACTAGTTGGTACCTCTGTTTTGGTTGAGATACCCCCTTTATATGCACATATCCCATATAACCTTGACCGATGGTGTTTTCACTGATATATTATAACCATTGATATATTATAACCCCCAACTAATTTATGTACTGAAACCTGGTGATAACATTTGAGTTAATCCTATCCCTAGAAGCGTAATAGTTCTTCTCATTTTCTACCCAAAGCATTTCTCAAATTTCCTTCCCATCCTCAAAAGCCCTACCCACCAAGGAACATATCTTTAACATTTGTAACATTTGTTCCTAACTGCCTTCAGTATTGTTTTATCTGAAATTCTGCTTTTGTGAAACTTCTTTTTTGACCACTGCCTCCCATGATCCCACCTCCCTTCTATTAACCCCTTCCCTTTTCTTCCCCTTTACCCTTAATACTTCTTCCCTCCCTTCTATCCCCTCTCCCTTTTCTTTCCCTTTTTCCCTCCTACTGCCTATAGGGAAAGTTAGATTTCTATACCTAACTGATTATGTTATTCCCTTCTTGAGCGAAATCTGATGAGAATAAGGTTCAAACAATTCTCATCTCCCTCCCTTCTTTCCCTTTGCTGTAATAGGTTTTTATGCCTTTTCCTGTAATGTTATTTACCCTTGTCTGCCTCTTCCTTTCCTTTTCTCTCAGTATATTTTCTTAGTTAGATCAGATTAATCCACTTACTTGGATCCATTTAACCCACTTGATTAGATTTTTATCATTATATCAAAGTCAACTTATATCCACCCCCTTTTACGTATGCCCCTTTAACATGGTATAATAACAATACAGTTCTCAAGAGTTACAAGTGTCATCTTCTCTCATAGGGATTTAAACAGTCTGCCCTTATTAATAACATGTTGTATCTTTCTGTCCCATTTACCTTTTTATGTCTCTCTTGAGTCTTGTATTTGAAGATCAAATTTTCTGTTGAGCTCTGGTCTTTTTATCAGGAAGGTTTGGAAGTCCCCTATTTCATTGAATATCCATCTCCTTCCCTGAAAGATCATGCTCATTTTCTCTGGGTGTATTGCTGTATTTTTAAGTAAATCCCTGAGAGGAATTTGTTTTCTTATAATTTGTTCCTTTCCCCTCAAATAGTATAGTACTAGGAAAATTTCTGCTTAATTAATTTTCCTCATTTAGCTATTGTTAACCAACATTATACTACATACCAAAGAATTTTCTCCTTTTGTAAAGCTTTAAATTAGAGACATCTTAGACACTAATATTATTATTATTATTATTTTACCTTCAGCCTTTCCTTCTATCTCCTCATTCCCCTCATCTTACATAGGGTGGCCTTATTCCTTATTCCTTACCAAGGCCCACCCTTCCACCTGCGTAAGTGGTCCCCGTTCCTTCCCATCTCCTCCAACAGATTGCCCGTCTGTTATCCCTATCTATCACTTATCTTCACTTTCTGCCTGTCTATTGGCTTCTTCCCTACTGCCTATAAACATGCCCATGTCTCTGCCATCCTCAGAAAAACCTCACCTGATC